CTTTGATGCCTGATACCTGATCCCATTGACATCTCATGATCACACAGGCTGGTGTGCTTCTTCCATGTGGACTTTGTTGCTTCTCAGCTAGAAGGCCGCTTGTTTATCTTCAAGCCTTTAAGACCCCAGACACTATATCTTTTTGATACCCGGGCACCATCAGCTTTCTTCACCACATTTGCTTATGTACCCATTTTGTCTTCAGCAATCGTGTCAGGAAGGCAAGCATCACGGAATGCCAGGTTATTAGAACAAAGTGTTCTTGCGTTGAGGGAAGACTTGAGTAGAGATTCATTGTCCGTCTACTACCTTAGTACTTAACGGATAAATATATGCACATAGATCTATTTCCCTATCGTTATATATAAATATATTTACATATGTACATGCTTATATTTAGAGCTTTATAAGTGCCCTTTGCCTCCTAGTTATTTCCTCTATTTCCTTTTACATTCCTCTTGTCCCACTATCATGTTTGGCCTTCATTCAAGTTTTCGTAGTTCCTCTTGGTTACATTGCCTTTGATTAAGCCTCACCATGCATCCTACACCCTCCTTGCCATCAATTTTGGATCACCTGTTGTTCCCTTGTCCCTAGGTTTGTTAACACCCCCTTCCTTCCCTACCACCTCCCCCTCTCCTGTGTCCCACCCCAGAACCATCGGTCTCTTGGTTTCCTCCCCATGAGTGTTTATCCTGCCTCTCTTATCTAGATATACCTGCAGAGTCAATAATAAGCACAAAAACAAGACGGCGCAAAAGAAAACAACAAAACCCAAAGACAAAAAAAAAAAAAAAGAAAAGCCCATAAATAGTTCCAGGTCTGTGTGTTGACCTTTAGGAGTGTTTTCTGGTCAAGTCTGAGGGATGCCATGCCCTGGCCCCAAATTCTATTTTTGGTATTCCCTGGGAACCTCATTGTTGTGCTCCCCTTGCTGTTCTGTTGCACACCCTTAGCGTTTCACCCTGGTGTGGTGGAGTCAGATTGGGCACAGTTCCCTCACTGTGCCTCCTGAGTTGTTCCTGGAAGTGCTGTGGGTCCGTGAGGGACGTCGTGTCTCGTGGTGGACCTGCCATATGGTCCGCTCTGTGCATTGCTGTTCTGAGCAGGAATATGGTCCTCAGGGCTTGGTGGGCCAGCTGTGCTCCACTCTTTCTCGTTCCCTCTTCATTTGCTCCTGTGTGCTCTGATCAGACGTGTCCCTCTCCCTGAGCTGCAGGTTCAGTGCTGTCCTCTGAAGTGAATTCTTTGGAGGGAAGGGTGGCTGTCCACGTCGCTGGGATTGGGGCTGGCCCCTCAGCCCTCTCTCTTGGTTCCCTGCTTCATGCCGGTATGTTGCATTCACATCTTGGCGCACCAGGTTGAAGTCTGGTCCCCTTCTCCCTTTCCTTGTGGAGATAGAAACAACACCCTCCCCTTAGGTGGGTTAGTGCCCTGTTCCCCCCTACCCATGTCTTCCCCCCCCCCTTTGTTTCCTCCTCCTTTTTAGTTGGCTACATTATGTATCCCTGGATTGGGTCTGGCCCCTGCCCTACCACGTGGACCTATGTATACCAAGCTGCTTTGATTACTGTGATGATAGAGTAGGCTTTAAAATCCGGGAGTAAAAGGCCTTTTGCTTTGTTTTTTAATAGTGTTTTATCTTGGGTTTCTTTTTTTCCCATTTAAAGTTGATTAGTTTTCCATTTCTTTGAAGAATTGTACTGGGATTTGGATTGGATTTGCATTGAATAATAAAGCATTTTTGGTAACATTGACATTTTCATTATATTTAGTCTTTCTGTCCAGGGACATGGAACATGCTTCCATTTCTGTAAGTCTCGTTTTGTCTCTTACAGAAGTGCTTATATAATTTTCTCCATATAAGTCTTTTGTTTCTCGGGTAAAACTTACTCCTAGATATTCTATCTTTTGGGCAGTATTATAAATGATACTGTTCTTTTAGCATCTTTTTTTATTGTCATCTTTTTTATTATTATTATTATTTTTTAATATATAAGAATCCAACCGATTTCTGTATGTTGACCTCAGCCTGCTCAGTTAGTTCCAGCAGGGTTTTCAGTGAGCCTTGGAGGAGGTGGTGGGTCGGCGCCATCGAGTGGGATCCAGCTGATCGTGACCCTCACAGTGGTGTCTAAGCCCTTGTTGTAACCACTGTGTCTCTAGCTCACGGAGGGCCTTCCTCTCGTTTGCTGCCCCTCTGTCTTACCAAGCACGGTGTCCTTTTCTGGGGACTGGTCTCTCCTGACAACATGTCCGAAAGTACGCCAGATGGCTCGCCGTCCTTCCTCTAAGGAGCGTCTGAGTACTCTTTCCCAGGCGAGCTGTGTGTTCTTTCGGCAGTCCGGGGTACTTCACTCACTATGCTCTGAGTGGTTTTCTCCAGACAGGGTTATACCCCTTGCAAATAAAAGAGGTTTGTTTCTTCCGTGCCGATGTGGATGCCTTGAATATCTTTTTGATGTCTTCATAGCTCTGGATAAGACATCCGGGACTGTATTAAACACGAGTGGTGACTAAAGGCATCCCGGTTGGCTTCCTTCCTTTGCCTGGGTCATATTATGCTGCCCCCCCTTAGGGTATATTGCCTCCCCCATCACCAGTTAATAACGTGTCCCGACGGCACCTCTCTAGTTGGTGCGTTTCCCTCCTTCCTCCTCCCGCCCCTGGTCACCACCAGAAATGCGTCTTTCCCCGCATAAACCTTTCCTTGCTTTTCGGTGACAGTAATCTCCTACCACAGCTGCCCTTTTGTGACTCAGAAGCCCTTGTCTCACTTGGCATCGTGCCCTCCAGATCCGTCCATCTTATGAGGGGCTTTGCAGACTCCCCGTGATTCCTTAACACCGCACGGTATTGCTTTGTGTGCGCACCATGGTTGTCCGTCTCCTAGTCCTTAACACCGCACGGTATTGCTTTGTGTGCGCACCATGGCTTGTCCGCCCACTAGTCCACTGACAGCCACTTCGGTTGGTTTCGCTGTTAGCTACTGTGAATACGACAGTGGTGAACCTAGGTGTATCACGGCTCTTACCTCTCAGGGTATATACCTGGTAGTGGGATTGCGGGATCATGTGTTCTTTCTAGTTCCAATTTTTTACAGTCCCACCGACAGTGGCAGGGCGGGGCAGTCTCTCTACCACCTCACCAACATCGGTTGTTTCCTGGGGTTTTAAACGCCGTTATTGCTGGGGTCAGGTTGGAATTTTGTTTCATGGCTTACAAAAGTGGTGTCAAATTACAAGTATTGTAGCATAACTCAACTTGTTCTCCTTCACGATGTGGACGTCTTTCCAGGTCTATATCGTCTGTCCACTGTGTGTTAAACGGATGTCCCATGATTTCTCTCACTGGTCCCGCCCACCGACTTCTCCTTTGGAAATCACGTTTCCTGGAACACCCTGGACCATGTATCTTTCCATCCTCACATAAGCTTTTCTGTAGGATAGATGCCCACGTCACGCTTATCTGCTTGAAGCATGCTGATAGATTCTGTCAAATTTCCATCCCAAAGATTCTTCTGGTGTACCCCGCCACCAGCTGCCTAAGCGAGCCTGACACCTCACTACCGGCGTCTCTCTAGCGTGGAGCCCTGCCCTTTGCAGACAGACCACGGAGGGTGGCCTGGTGGTCACCACTTTCCACGTGGACAAGACTTGGGTGAAACCCAGAGTCGCACTGGGTTAGAGGTCAAAGGTCCACTTCTGACTGCAATTTTTGACCCTTTTCTTCCCAAGGCTTTTGGGAGCGCAGTCGGGTCAACCTGATATTAAGCATGAGAGGCTTACGCCCGCTTGGTTCAGCCCCCTCGTGTGTGTGCGCGCAGCCCAGGCTGTCGGCGAGGCACTCGGTGTTGTGCTGCGGTGACTTCCATGAGCACCACCGTTGCCCCTACAGGGTTGACGTGGAAAGTCAGATAAAGAAACCATGCACTAAGCTGTGAAGGCAGTTGTGGTTGGAGAGAGGTTCCTGACGGGGCCAGGTGTTAGGGTCGGAGTAGTCGTGGACGAACTCGGAAGAGAAGTTGGCCCGGGTCACTCCCAGGACCCATGCATCGCACCCACCCTTCCTTTTCCTGAGTAGTCCCGGGGGCTGGGGTGGGAGAGGCTCCCCAGGGCCCAGTTCTGTTAAAACGGCCCGCCCACGTCCCCAGGTGTGTGATGACTGCGTGGTGTTACGTAGCAACGTGGGGACGGTGTATGAGCGCTGGTGGTACGAGAAGCTCATCAACATGACCTACTGTCCCAAGACCAAAGTGCTGTGCTTGTGGCGCAGAAACGGCTCCGAGACCCAGCTCAACAAGTTCTACACCAAGAAGGTACCCCTGTCTCTGTCCCAGTGGGGCGCGCCTGGAGGGAGAACACTTCTCCCCGGGAGGTTGAGATGCCCGAATCACGCCTGGAGAGAGTTTTGCGTGGGATACTGAAGCTGTAGCGGAGGCCCAGGCAGGGGCCTCTGGGAGGCCAGTGTGACAGGACGCTGTCCCCCCATGTGCCGCAGTGTCGGGAGCTGTATTACTGTGTGAAGGACAGCATGGAGCGCGCGGCCGCCCGGCAGCAGAGCATCAAACCCGGTGAGAACCCGCTTGCCCCCGCCTCGAGAGCATGTGTCTGCACTTGTCCATCCTGGTGGCTGTGGTCTGACGAGGACGTCGGGTCCCAGGGTTCCCCAGCTCCCCACTGACCACTTCTCCTCGGACCACAGGGCCTGAGCTGGGTGGTGAGTTCCCCGTGCAGGACATGAAGACCGGGGAAGGTGGCTTGCTGCAGGTCACTCTGGAAGGGATCAACCTCAAGTTCATGCACAACCAGGTAGGTGCAGCTGAAGACACACGGCCTCCTTGCCTCTCACCCCTCCCCCGCCCCCCTTTCGTCTGCACTGAGGTGCTGGGTCCCAGGTACCAGTGCTGCCCAGTGAGCATGGCACCATGGGGCCAGTGGGGGAGCCGGGGCAGCTGGAGCAGAGACTGGTCCGAGGAGTGGGCAGCAGAGTCCCCCACGGGCTGGGGAGTGAGAGGCTCCGCCCCTTAGACCGGCACAGTGTGAGTGGGAGCGTCTCTCTTACCCTCTATGCAGCGTCCCCTCTGCCTGCCTGCACTCGCTCCCAGGGCACGCTGCGGCCCGGCCCGGGGCTCTGCTTTGAGAGTCTGGACTGGCTGAGTGCTGAGTGGCTGTTTGTACGTGAAGTTTCCCTTCCGGGTGTGGGGCGCAGCGTGCCTCCGCCCTCTCTGGGAGAGAGAGAGAGAGAGAGAGAGAGAG